GCTGAACCTGTTCACCAACTCTGTCCCCGTCTTCAGGTCCAAGACAAATGTCAGCTGGAGATCGGCTTCAACACTCTGCAGACTAAACTGAGACTCAACAACAGACCTGCCTTCATGCCATCAGAGGGACGCATGGTGTCTGTATGTATTCACACTGCATGTACATACTGCTAGTCACCTGGGCTGCTCAGGTGAAAAGAGGAGTCCAAATTGTATGGTCACTAAGTGGGCACATGGGTCCACAGTAACAGAGGCCTGTAGTTTTCACTTTCTGTTCGATTTGCTTCTCCACACTTGGTAAGAAACAAAACAGTAAAGTGCACTTAAAAGGTAGAATCACCTGCTGTCAGGTTTTATGAAAATGCAGTTTGTTTTTTTTTTGTCAAATAACTGGTTCTGTTGTTGTCAGGACATCAACGGAGCGTGGCACAATCTGGAGGGAGCAGAGAAGGGCTACGAGGAGTGGATCCTCAGTGAGATGAGACGTCTGGAGAGACTGGAGCACCTGGCCATGAAGTTCCACCAGAAAGCTGAGATCCATGAGTGCTGGACCGATGGTCTGTAGATGTTTTATCTCACACAGGCTGAACAACAGATTGAATCCCCTTTTCTATATGAAGTCCTTCCTCTTTTTGTGTCTGTTTCAAGATGAATTCCCTCCTAAAACGTTTCCTTCCTTTTTCATCCCGCTGCACTTTTTAATAAGATACGTTATCAGATGAAACATTACAGAACATAGCTCTGATCTTTATTTAACCTCTCGTGTTGAGTGCAGGTGATGCAAAACATTTTAAAATAAAATTAGTATTAATGACTTTTATATGTATGCAGGTAAGGAGGCCATGTTGACCCAGAAAGACTACGCAACGTCCACCCTGTCGGACGTCAAGGCGTTGCTATGGAAACACGAGGCCTTTGAGAGCGATCTTGCTGCCCATCAGGACAGAGTGGAGCAGATTGCCGCCATCGCACAGGAGCTCAAGTGAGGAGCAGCACACACAGCTGTGAACCTGGTCACACAGCACACAACAGTAATACTTCTAGTATCAGTGAATACAGCACGAGCTCATAAGAAGTACTCAGAATACTGTTGTTGTAGTGTCGTATCTCTACGTACAAGCTGAGTATCAGCTGTAAAAGCCACTCTCTCCTGTGTGGTTCCAGCGAGCTGGACTACTACGACTCTGCCAGCGTCAACACTCGCTGTCAGAAGATCCGCGATCAGTGGGACGTCCTGGGGACCCTCACCCAGAGCCGCAAAGAGTCGCTGGAGGTACGACACCTGTAGTGTGTGCGTGATGCTGGGGTTTCTAATCAGACGCTGATTAAGCTGTTGAAAATCTCATGGTTGACTTTTCAAAAGCATCTGAAACAGATGCAGCTCTCACTGATGCTGTGGTTTAAACAGTTTTATTTGGCCAAAAAAGGCTTGTGCCAAAGTAGCTTTTATAAAATATCCAATGCAAAGATTTTACATTTTTCAAGTCGAGTGTTTTTGTTTTTTAAAGACAGGAAGTGGGAGAAAAAATTCTCTGAAAGATAATAGAAATGAGTTATTGTCACAGGTGTACAAAGCCTTCAGATCATACCTGGCTCTCGTGCCCAACAAAGTGTCCAAGTATTTACTCTGTTCTGACAGTAAGTTTTAACAGCCACAGATCAGTTGAGTACAGTTTGTTTTCTGGCCGACAGAGGACAGAGAAGCAGCTGGAGATGATAGATGAGCTTTACCTGGAGTACGCCAAGAGAGCGGCACCTTTCAACAACTGGATGGAGGGAGCTATGGAGGATCTGCAGGACATGTTTATCGTCCACAACATTGAGGAGATCCAGGTAACTGGGAACAGTGTGGTCCAGACAGGCGCAACACCTGAAACCCATCAGGAAAAACATGCTGAAGTCCAGAAATGTCGAAGATTTGCAAAAGAAATGTGAAGTATGCAGCGAAGCTAATGAACATTTGTTCTTGCATACACAGTATACAGCAGTAAACACAGGTGTAAGCTACAACATTCTTTCTGTCTGGAGATAAAATCCAACCTGTTTTTCCTCCCTCAGGGTCTGATCGCAGCCCACGAGCAGTTCAAGTCCACCCTGGCAGAGGCCAACAAGGAGCGGGAGGCCATCCAGTCCGTCCCGGCCGAGGTGCAGAAGATCGCCCAGAGCTACAACATCATGCTGAGCGGAATCAACCCCTACACCGCCATCACGCATGCCAGTATCGACAGCAAGTGGGAAAAGGTGTGTTTTTTTTGTTTTTTTTTACAGCTACCTCTGTTTTGCATATTCGTACTTATTACTGCCCCAAGCTTGTTTTGTGTGGTAAATCATAAATCCAGAACAGTCCACTCTTTTGATTTGTTGTTAAAGCGGACTCCTGCAGGCCGAGGAGTTCAAGGCCTGTTTGATCAGTCTGGGCCACGATGTGGAGAACGACAAGCAGGTAGGCGCCTGCAGGGCGGGACGGAGGGACGTAGGTGGTGGTTTGTCACGCCTCTGAGCAGGAGGGCAGAGCTGAGGTCACTGCCAGGCACTCGCATTCAGAGCTAAAGCTAGTTTTCAGTGATCATTTCATTTCAGCTTTTATTTGTAAGATTAAACACAAATGTTGCCATTTGATGAGTTTTACCAGAGTTAGCTTAAAGCTAACTTTCATCTGCAGTCTGTTGTGTAAAATTCCTTTACCCACTGCCAAAGTAACTTTGCTAGTTTTAATATTTAGTATTTAAATTTTTTTCTATGTAGGCTGCATCTTTACTAGTCACATTTCATGTCTTCACTTTGACGAGTTCAAACTGCACTATGCAGCGGGGTCATTCGCTCTAAATGCTGGTCGGTGACGGCTCAGCGCTCCTGCTCCGAGGCCTTTGATCAGCTCCAGGTCATGCAGGGTTCAGTCCATCTGCATGGAGGGCAAAGAGCTGCAGTGTCCATGTTTGTCCACTGGGGGTCTCTGTTGCTTTGTGCTGTCTCACTGTAAACAGAGCCCGCCCCTCTCCGTCTCTCAGATTTTACTTTCTTTGTTAACTGTTGGTGCTTTTTTTTATCTTTTTCCACCTCCCCAATCATTACTCACTGTCTCTGCATCTGTCGTCTGTGTTCCTGTTTATTGTTTTTTTTCCTTTTCTGTCCTCCTCCTCTGCCGCTTGTATGTCTCGGACTCCATCTCTGTGAACTCCCCTCCTCCCCCTGGCCATTGCTGTGCTGTGGCGACCCACAGAAGCGATCAGGACAGATGGTCTCAGATGATTTCCGGGCTCTACTCATTTCTACAGGAACCAGCCTGGTACTGCTGCTGGCATGCTGCTCTCACAGGGTGTCTGCAGGTCCAGCACCGTCCTCACTCAGTTGTTTGCAACATTCACAGCCTGACATTGACTTAAATAGGGTGGAACACCAGGTTTTAGTTTCCCATCCTGCACATTTTTTGTGAGAAACTGACCCACTCATGATCAGGGCTGGATATTGACCAACATTGTTGGAACACATTTTCCTCTGATCATAATTTTTGTACTTTTGGATGTGAAGCTTTTACATATAGTTCTGATGCCAGCTTTGTATTAGAACAACAAAGATTTGATGAATTTGAGAAGTTTTTTAGCTTTTTGTTAAATACGTTTTATGTTCCAAACTTTACCCAATGAAATATTTTGAAATATGGAAAAATATAATCACTAACATATTTAATGCTTTTTTTGTAGGGCTGGACGATGAGGCCAAAAATCTTATCAATATGCTTTTCATATTGATCGATAATTGATCACTGTGGCTATATCGAGCACAGGTTGCTGCATGTCGCTCTGTTTATGCCCCTTTAAAATCAGAGCCGCGATGTCATGCGACCTCTTATTCACATCGTCCTCGCCGTGGCTCATTCATCTCCATGTGCTGTCCTTGTTTTGGCCCCACAGCAACTTAACTCACACATTTATCAGTTGAAAGCTTTGATTATCACTGTTATTGGGGAGAATTTGATTATAATCGTTTTATGGAGCCAGCCCTTCTACTTTTAGTGTCGACGTAGTTCTTCAGATTGACTGGGGCCCTGCAGACACCCTGCTGTCTCCCTGATCCTCTGTCTGCTTGTTGTGCTTTGTACTTGCTGCAGCTCTGCCCTAGTGGGTGTTAGACATGTTTCACTGGGCCCTCGTCTGTTTTCCATTGATATTAACCAGTGAACGAGTGTACAGAATGTATCTGCATGAGTCAAAGTGTGAAATATAAAATATTGGGACTCCCGCCATAACTTTTACCTCTACTCACCAGCTCGGTATTTTTCACGGGGGTCCTGATGTTTTACACACTGTAGGTTGTGTATGTCGTGTCCAGTCTGCGTCTGTGTGTCTATCCTGGGTTAACCTGTTGTCCTCTGTTGCCAGGGTGAAGACGAGTTTGCTCGCATAATGAGCATCGTGGACCCCAACGGCAGCGGCAGCATCGCCTTACAGGCCTTCATTGACTTCATGTCCAGGGAAACAACCGACACAGACACCGCAGACCAGGTCATCGCCTCGTTCAAGATCCTGGCTGCTGATAAGGTGAGCGTGCTGGGTTGAGACCCGGTGACCACGAAGCCCACAGTATGATTTACGTCGTTTCATCCCAATATTCAGTGGCCCCTCATGTCCTATGGACGGTGGCACTGTCGTCCTGTAGGAGGCCCCTCGTCCTTTAATGTGTCACCTGACTGTACTTGAACAACACGTGTTTGGTTTAGCGCCCCTTTAGTCAGTTGAACTGCCACCAAGAAAACAGAAGCAGGCAAGTTTTTTTTAAATCCCAGAAGCTGTGAAATATTTGCTGTTCTTGGTCTTAGAGGTGTTTGTGTGCGTGCTTGGCCTACAGGTCAATTAAAACTTGTCACTAAGTTTGTGTTACTGTCTCAGCCCGTGTTTCCTTCTTCTTTGCGTGTTGTCCCCATGATTTGCCCATCAAGCCCGTCTTAGTGTTTCAGGTCATATCTGGGACTTAATATTTGAGTGACGAGCGTATCGAAATACATTTTGGTACCGGTACCGGTACCAAAATGTTGGTATCGTGACAACCCTAGTAGGGCTGGACGATGAGGCCAAAAATCTTATCAATATGCTTTTCATATTGATCGATAATTGATCACTGTGGCTATATCGAGCACAGGTTGCTGCATGTCGCTCTGTTTATGCCCCTTTAAAATCAGAGCCGCGATGTCATGCGACCTCTTATTCACATCGTCCTCGCCGTGGCTCATTCATCTCCATGTGCTGTCCTTGTTTTGGCCCCACAGCAACTTAACTCACACATTTATCAGTTGAAAGCTTTGATTATCACTGTTATTGGGGAGAATTTGATTATAATCGTTTTATGGAGCCAGCCCTTCTACTTTTAGTGTCGACGTAGTTCTTCAGATTGACTGGGGCCCTGCAGACGCCCTGCAGACGCCCTGCTGTCTCCCTGATCCTCCGTCTGCTTGTTGTGCTTTGTACTTGCTGCAGCTCTGCCCTAGTGGGTGTTAGACATGTTTCACTGGGCCCTTGTCTGTTTTCCATTGATATTAACCAGTGAACGAGTGTACAGAATGTATCTGCATGAGTCAAAGTGTGAAATATAAAATATTGGGACTCCCGCCATAACTTTTACCTCTACTCACCAGCTCGGTATTTTTCACGGGGGTCCTGATGTTTTACACACTGTAGGTTGTGTATGTCGTGTCCAGTCTGCGTCTGTGTGTCTATCCTGGGTTAACCTGTTGTCCTCTGTTGCCAGGGTGAAGACGAGTTTGCTCGCATAATGAGCATCGTGGACCCCAACGGCAGCGGCAGCATCGCCTTACAGGCCTTCATTGACTTCATGTCCAGGGAAACAACCGACACAGACACCGCAGATCAGGTCATCGCCTCATTCAAGATCCTGGCTGCTGATAAGGTGAGCGTGCTGGGTTGAGACCCGGTGACCACGAAGCCCACAGTATGATTTACGTCGTTTCATCCCAATATTCAGTGGCCCCTCATGTCCTATGGACGGTGGCACTGTCGTCCTGTAGGAGGCCCCTCGTCCTTTAATGTGTCACCTGACTGTACTTGAACAACACGTGTTTGGTTTAGCGCCCCTTTAGTCAGTTGAACTGCCACCAAGAAAACAGAAGCAGGCAAGTTTTTTTTTAAATCCCAGAAGCTGTGAAATATTTGCTGTTCTTGGGCGTAGAGGTGCTGTTGTGGGGGTGTTTGTGTGCGTGCTTGGCCTACAGATCAATTAAAGCTTGTCACTAAGTTTGTGTTAGACTGTCTCAGCCCGTGTTTCCTTCTTCTTTGCGTGTTGTCCCCATGATTTGCCCATCAAGCTCGTCTTAGTGTTTCTGGGACTTAATATTTGAGTGACGAGGTTTTTAATGTCAGGTCTTGTCGCTGCTGATCACACTGCACTCCCTGCACATGTGCACCTCACTCACTGAATCTCCCCCCCCTTTTTCTTTCCATCAGAGCTACATCACAGCCGATGAACTGAGGAGAGAGCTCCCCCCCCCGACAAGGCCGAGTACTGCATTGCCCGCATGGTGCCCTACAAAGGGCCTGACGCGGTCCCCGGAGCCCTCGACTACATGTCCTTCTCCACCGCCCTGTACAGAGAGAGCAACCTGTAGAGGAGGCGAGAGGAAGAGGAGGGCTGGACAGATGTGGGAGGGAGGGGGAGGGGAGGGACACAAGCTAATCTGATACTTATGCTCATTTTTGTTTATTTTATTGTTTCTTCTTGCCGGGGTGTTTGTTTTTGTTTTTTGTGTGGGCGGGGGGGGGGTGGGGGGGGGGTCGGCTTTGGACGTGGCGACTGGCGGGGTCTGGTGTATTAGATCCTAGAGAGATATATGCTGCGGGGGTGGGGGAATAAAATGACATATTTACCCATAATTCTCATGCTGCTGGATAAGGTGACCCGTCTAACCTCAGCTCTGTTTTCCTCCTGTTAATTTCTCTTTTGTTAGTCTGGAGCAGATGGGCGACGGGGTGGGGGCAGTGCTGGTGGGAGGGGGGCTCAGCGCTGTACATACTTATTTTTCCAGTGCGATAAATGACACGCTGCCGTTGAACAACTGATCGCAGGCTTTCCAGTAGGGACTCCAGGACGTTTATTTTAAAAATCTAATAAAATGACAAAACGGAGAAAAGCCAGTTTGAGGGGTGGATAGGTTCGAGCTAACAGAAGTCTTCTCACCGGGTTTGCTTTAGAAGGCCTCGGTAGCCATGACGTTGAGACCGCTGCACCTACAGGCAGCACCTCGGTTGTCCACGGATATCTGCCTCTGAAGCTGCTCTCCTCCTGGGGTGGGCATCAGGTGCTGCTTTAAATACTGAAACTATACATTTATATTGTAGATAAGACAGTAGGAGTCAAAGCTAGTCCAGTTTTATATACCACAACTCGTCCACACACGCAGAAGTGTAATACACCTCATGTCATGGATGCATCTGATTGGCTGACACTGTGGAGAGCTCCCTGTGATTTTTTTTTTTGGGAAATACTGTTGAAAGTAATAAGAAAATAAAACGTGGCCGTTGGAGGCTACAGCCGTTTTCCTCCCTCTCTCTCTCCCACTTCCTCCATCCCCCCCGTCCCCTCATTTTTTTTTCTCTGAAGGGAAGGAAATTTCCCTTCCAGGACGGAGCGAGGCTGTGGGTCGGGAGCAGTCGCCATGTAAACATTCCATTATGTGAAAATAAAATTGTAAAAAAAAAAAAAAAGCTATGCAATCATAATGTGTTCAGTACCTGATTTCTGGGGATCAAGCCTTTTCTGAACGAGTTCCCTGTCTAAATTAACAGGATTGCAGGTTTCTCCATTGTTTGTTGGGGGGAGGGGGGACAGACATGGAGGGAGCTGAGAAGACTTGGACCAAAAGTTTATTTCTTTATCTCTTTTTCTTGTTTTCCCTGTGGGGTTGCAGAGAGATGAACTCTGGAATGGCGATTTTCCTTTTTTTGTACTCTTGAATATCAAACCTTATCTGCTGTACTGGAAACTGCAACGCCTTCTGTCTAATGATACTCGAGTTTCAAAAGCACACATAAAGGTTTCCTTACAACTTACCTCTGCTTGTCTCGTGTCTTTTCTTGTGTGTGTCAGGGTTAAACTTCATCAAAAACATTCTGCGTTGTAAATGTCATGAGTAAGAGTAACAAAGGAAAATGTACATAAATAGTTTAAATCTAATGTCAAACGAAGACATTAAAATAGAGGTGAAAGAGACGGAGACGGACCACAGGGACACTGGACTGGATCAGGAGAAAGAAGAGAGAAGGACAAGCGAAGGATGAAAGAAAAACCAGAGGCGGAAGAAACAAAGTGGGAGCAAGGACAGAGAAGTGGAGCAGAAAACTGGGAGAAAGGAGAGAGCGACGGACGTCTTACCTGCTGCTCCCCCTCTTTTGTTTGTCCCCGCTCTCCTGCAAAACACAGAATCTTCAGTGGGAAGGAAAGTGGTTGCAGGCTTTTAGTGCCAACTTGCTGAGAGATCAGGCTACTGCTCCCCAGTGACCTTCCAACCTGAACCTGCCAAACGATTCATTGCTTGTTCTTTGTTTTTCAATAAGTGCCCCCTACCCCCTACACATTAATAGGAACGTGACACCCTGTGTTGCACGGCTACGCTGCTGCTCAAAGCCAAATGAAAAGCAATTTCAGACTTAAGTGAGCAACACAGACCTGATCAACTACATGATTCACTGTTGGAAGAACAGAGCAGACGACCTGTTGTGTTACTCTCCACCTGTCAGCGCTTCAGTCTTTCGGTGCCTTCCCTGCGTCTGTTTCCCTCAGTGGATTCACTGACATCCCCGTTTCACTCACTTTCATCTTCAGAGCTTCCTGTTTCATTTCCACCCTTCAGAATCTCATCCATCATCCTCGCTCTGTCGCTGTCTCAGCCAATTCCCAGCTCTTTTCTGGTACAACAGAGGATTCGTGATGTGAGACTCAGACGGGTGGCAAATGAAAGGAAAACCTGGATAAACGGAGGAAAAACAGCAAATGCAGATGCTGGAATGGTTCAAGTCCGTTTGTGTCATCAGAGGGACGACTCACTGCAGATCAGTACAAAGGTTTTCTGAGGGATCACCTTTAAAGGCCTCTATGCTGATGGGAGTGGTCTCCTCCAGGATGACGGTGCCCCCCGTCCACAGGGAACGAGGGGTCACTGTCTGGTCCAAGGATGAAAAGGATGTGAATCATGTGCTGTGGCCGGCGGTCACCAGATCTCAGCCCAGCTGGGGCGAATGTGGTTCAGGAGGTAGAGCAGGTTGCCTCCTACCTGGAGGGGGAGTGGTTCAGCCACCGGTGGCAGTGGAAAGACGGAATCAGCTGCTCTGTGTTGGGTTTTCCTTTCATTTGTCAGCTGTCTGTGTGTTTGCAGTAGTGCTACAATCTCTCTCTCTCTCTCTCTCTCTCTTTCACACACGCACAGTGCACAGATTTATGCTCATGGTGTTTCCTCCTGAAAAACTTGGGTTTGTGTTTTGGTTCCATATGAAGAAGTGAAGCTGTGGCTTTTGCCTGCTGTACCCAGGACTTGTGTTGTTTTTCAACAGCCATGTCCTTGTGAATCACACTCTTCAGGAATGCTGTAAATAGCACTGGTGTGTTATGTCTGATTGAGGTGCAAACATGGGAGCCACAGAAACGTGGCTGCAGGGGTCTGAAGATGACGCCGCCGCTTCTAGCACCTGCTGACTAGGTCTTAATGTTTAGGTTTTATCAGCTTTATGGTGAAAAGAGTGACTGCATATGGAGTTTGTTACAATCCTGTCAAATTATCACAGTGCCAGTGTGTGAACGTTGTGTGAGACCAGTTCTGACAGAAAGGCTGTGTGATGTGATAGATTCCAGTTTCTTTCACTTTACGTCACTGTCACAATCCTTTTTTCTGCTATAGATCATGAACGAGTATCTGCATATCAATACCCTGAAAAACAGGGATTTAGTAAATGTGAGTCCACTGTAAGCTCCAGGCTCGAGGCGGTCTTAGTCTGTACAAGTCATGTTGACAAGTAACACAACAGGCTCCTGTTTTTCTTTTTTAGACCAAACAGTCGAGGTGCA